GAACCCACAAACAAAAATACTCTACCCAGCAAAGCTATCACTCAGAATCGAAGGCCAGATAAAGAGCTTCACAAACAAAAAAAAGGTAAAAGAGTTCATCACGGCCAAACCAGCATTATATGAATTGCTGAAGGGGGGGGGGGGAGAGGGTTATTTAGGAAGAGGAAGAAGATAAAGATAAAAATTATGAACAAGAATTATATAACTATCAACAAGTGAATCTAAAAACCAACGGAATTAAAAAATCTGATGAACAATATTAACTGGAATATAATAGAATCAGAGGTATGGAAGGGGAGTGGACTGATGATTCTTGGGGAAAAGAGGAGTGGGGGTGTGGGAAGAGCCTGAACAAAAACTGTGCACCTATGGATGAGGACAATGGGGGATGGGGAAAGGACAGAGGGTGGGGTAGGAACCTGGTGAAGTGGAGCAATTGCGGGGGGCGGGGGGGGAAGTGGAACACATTTGTAATAATCTGAACAATAAAGATTTATTTAAATAAATAAAAAAATGTTTTTCTTTTAAAATTATTCATTACATATGATTATTGTAGAAAATAAGAAAATAATGACAAGCAAAGTGACAAATTGAATAACTCAAATACTTCCATTCAGAGGTAACGTGTTAACATTTTCATTTTGATGTCTATCACTTAATATCCCTCTGTTTATATACAAAGATATTAGTATATATACATATATAATGAAATATATAGGATGTTCCCCAAAATGTATATACACTTTAATAGCTGATAGCTCACTTAATTTTGAAAATGAACTGTATATTAATAAAAACTGACTTTATAATAAAGTGTGTATACATTTTGGGGGGACACTGTGTGGGATTCTGAGAGAATCATTGATTGGCTGCCTCCTGCATGCCTCACAATGAGGATCATATTGTACAAATTTAATTCATTTGTATAATATGACACTGTGTTATATTATGTCCACTTATATTGCAATTATCTTTTTCCATTTAATATTATTATCAACACATTTTTCTGCCAACAATAAGGTATCTATGCTATGACCTAATGGTTACTAATGTGATGTTGTATAGATTGCTATACAACAATAGCAATTTAGTCAACCCTTAATTATAGATATTCAAATTATTTCCAAGTTTACACTGTTATAAAAAGTTTTCCATACATAAAGACACTTTATTTTTTTAGGATGAATTTCTAGAAGCATAATTCCTAAGTGAAATAGTAAGTACACATTAAAGCTGTGTATCTGTTCCAAATTGTTCCCTAGAAATAATTTATCAATGAATAGTCTCTTTTAAGAAATGAGTGATTTTTTTATCCTATATTATCCTTTTATTTTTATCTTTGACATTCTAACAGTTGAAAATGGTCCTTTAATTTCTATTTCATTAATCAGTAATAATGTTTAGTGCTTTTTTATATATTTACTTGGACATTTATAATTTTTAAAATGGATTGTCTGTTTTAGTGTTTAGCCTATCTTTGATTAAATATGTTTATAGGATTTAAAAAATGTAATAACTCGCCAAAACTGGTTTGGCTCAGTAGTAGAGCATCGGTCTTCGAACTGAAAGGTCCCAGGTTCGATTCTGGTCAAGGGCATGTACATTGGTTGCGGGCACATCCACGGTAGGGGGTGTGCAAGAGGTAGCTGGTCGATGTCTCTCTCTCATCGTCGTTCCTAGCTCTCTCTTTCCTTTTCTCTTTGTAAAAAATCAATAAAATATATTAAAAAAACCCAAAACACAGTTAACTGGAAAGGTATTGTTTTGAAAGCAATCCAATTTATAAAAAAAAAATGTAATAACTGTCTCTTAGATTTGATAAAATATTTTTTACTTTGTCCCTTGCCTTTTAATGTTTTGATATTTTTATATATAATTTAAACCTTTAGTTTTTATTTTAATAATTAAATATATAATTTGTACAAGTGAATATGTTAATTCCATATATGTATCCTTTAAATAATAATAATCATTAAGCAAATGATTCTATATTCACATCCCAGTTGAAGAATAGTATATTTCCCAAACTTTTGAAGCTTGTTTGAGTTCCTATCATATCACATTTTTTCCAGAAGTAATCAATTTCATTACTTTTGTTCTTATTGTCTTTATAGTTTTATCATATATAGACAATTCTTAAACAGTATTATTTATTTTTTATATTTTTGGACTATAGATAACTAGAATTATACTTTAAAAAAATTTTTGTGACTTCTTTTTATTTTTTAAAACTAAACATTATCCATTGAGAACCATTAATGTTAAAACATCCTTTTTAAGTCATGTATGGTATTCTATTCTATTACCATATCATAATTTATTTATTCACTCTTCTGTTGTTTCCAATTTAAGGTAGCATTTTACACACAAAAATGCTACCTTAAATCTTCTTGTACATATCTCCTTGTGCGTATGTGTAAAAAGTGTATTCTCACTATTACAATTTTGGGTCATAGGGTAGGCATGTTTTCTGTTGGAAAAAAAGACAAATGATTATTTATTTATTTTTATAATGCATTATTTTTTAAAATTTATACTTATTGTTGAAAGTATTGCAGATGTTCTCTCCCCCTCCCCTCTCCCCCCAATGAACTTCTTTCACTGTGCATCTGCCCATCCCAGGCCTTCAGCACACTATTGTCTGTGACCATGGAGAATACATATATTCTCCCTGGTGTATGTCTCTCTATTGTAAGCTCTGCCTGTCCCCCTTCCCTCTGAAATTCATCAGTCTGTTCCATGCTTTTATTTTGCTCATCAGTTTATTTTGTTCATTAGATTCCACATATGAATGAGATCATGTGATACTTATCTTTCTCTGACTGGCTTATTTCACTTACGATAATACTCTTTAGGTCCATTCATGCTGTTGCAAATGGTAAGAGTTCCTTCTTTTTTACATTTGCATAGTGTTCCATTGTGTAAATGTACCACAGTTTTTTATCCACTCATCTGCTGATGGGCACTTGGGCTGTTTACAAATCTTAGTTGTTGTAAATTGTGCTGTTATGAACATATGGGTGCATATATCCTTTCTGATTGGTGTTTTGGGTTTCTTAGGATATATTCCTAGAATTGAGATCACTGGGTCAAATGGGAGTCCCATTTTTAATTTTTTGAGGAAATTCCATTAATATTTGACAAAGGGGGCAAGAACATATAATGGAGTAAAGACAGTCTCTTCAATAAATAGTGTTGGAAAAATTGGACGGATACATGCAAAAAATAAAACTAAACCACCAACTTATACTATACACAAAAATAAGCTGAAATGGATGAAAGACTCAAATGTAAATCATGAAACCATAAAAATATTTTTTTTGAAACCATAAAAATCTTAGAAGAAACCATACACAGCAAAATCTTAGACATCTATAGTAGCAATATGTTACCGTTACATCTCTTAGAGCAAAGAAAACGAAGTAGAAAATAAATAAATGGGTCTACATCAGAATAAAAAGCGTTTGCACAGCAAAAGAAATCAACAATAGAGCTTTCTTTTCCTTTTGTTGATTTCTGATAAGGGGTTAATTTCCAAAGTGGACATACAGAAGGTCAAGAGACATATGAAAAAAATGCTCAAATTCACTAATCATCTGAGAGATGCAAATCAAAACAATGAAGTATCACCTCACACCTGTCAGAATGGCCTATCATCAACAAATCAGCAAATGATAAGTATTAGTGAGGTTATGGAGAAAAGGGACCCCTAGTGCATTGCTGGTGGGATACACTCTGGTTGCAGCCACTGTGCCAAATGTAAAGTGATTGTAGGAAATTATGTGACACTTGTCTTTCTCTGACTGCTTTTTTCACTTAGCATGATACTCTCCAGGTACCTCCATGCTGTCTCAAAGGGTAAGAGATTGTTCTCTCTCTCTTTTTTTTTTTTTTTTTTTTTTTTTTTACTGCTGCACAGTATCCCATGGTATAAGTGTATCACAACTTTTTTAGTCACTCATTTACTGATGGGCACTTAAGCCCAAGGTGCTTTGGAAGTACCAGGGAGAGGCACTTGGCCAGACCTGTGGCTTCAGAGGATGCTTCTTGACCCAGATCATGTGCCATTAGTAGGTGAGGCCCAGGGCAATGGTAGAGGTTTGGGTGGAGTGGGAGAGCTGTATAAACAGATGGAACAGCATAGGAAAGGGCTCAGGATAGTGTAACCAGACAATCAAAGAATCCGGGCTGCTGGTCACTACTTGAACCAGAGACAGGGTTGAATCTTATATGGTCTGACCACTTGGTGCCACATTGGGTATGAGAGGTAGCTGCCAACCCCCAATCATCCCTGAGGGCTTCTCACCTCCCCCTGCTCCTGAGGAGTGATCGTGGCAGCAGCTGCACTCACACCCACTGATGGTGCCCGCCCTGCTCACACCTATTGATGGTGTCAGTCCCAACCAATAGCTCCAAGCTGTCGTGTGGTTGGCAGCGTCGGAAGCGGGGCTGCCAGCAGACAGGTGACAGGGCACTGCTGGAGGGATTGGGCGGGAGCACGGAGGATGGGCGGAGACCTGCCCCTGTGCCCACTGTAGCCTAGTGGCCCACAGTTCCTTTCTTTTTTTTTTTTTAATTTCTTTATTGATTAAGTTATTACATATGTGTCCTTATTCCCCCATTATCCACAGTTCCTTTCAAGGTACACGAATTAGTGTACTGGGCCCCTAGTATTGGATAAAAAAGGATTACGTGGGGAAATAGAGATTTTAGGTATGGAAAAGTAGAGATTACAGGCATGGGGAAGTAGGAGGCTGGGGTGGAACTCCATTGTTTGGGCAATAAGCTTGTTAATCTTTTCATGGTAATAGGCTTTTCTTGAAGAAAATGGGCCAAATTCCAAGGGTGACTTCCTGGTTCAATATAGACTCCCAATCTTGGGGGCATGCAACTCCCAGCCAGGTCAGAATGTCCTTTCTTTAGCCAACACAAGGCAATCATGGTTAACAGAGCACCATTTCCGGTAATATTTCCCATAACCACAGCTAGTCCCCAATATTCTTTTTTTTTTTTTTGGCCCCTAACAATAGCAGCAGGCCTCTATCTCTCCTTTGATCTATTGACTTGCCTATAATCTTCCTTCACAGATTTCTTCCTAGGGTGGTGGTGTCTCTGGTTCTCTCAATCCTGGGAGAGAAAAGATGATTGAACTGCTTCAGTAGCCGATCAAGCCCTCCTAGCTACATACACCAGCTGCACTCACATTCCTAGGTTCTCCTGGATCAGTGGTCGACAAACTGCGGCTTGCGAGCCACATGCAGCTCTTTGGCTTCTTGTTTTTAGCAAAGGCCAGCTTAGGAATACCCTAATTAAGTTAATAACAATGTACTTCCCTATATAGTTTAAGTTTAAAAAATTTGTCTCTCAAAAGAAATTTCAGCCGGGACCGGTTTGGCTCAATGGATAGAGCATCGGCTTGGGGACTGAAGGGCCCCGGGTTCGATTCCGGTCAAGGGCATGTACCTTGGTTGCGGGCATATCCCCAGTAGGGGGTGTGCAAGAGGCAGCTGATCGATGGCTCTCTCATTGATGTTTCTAACTCTCTATCTCTCTCCCTTCCTCTCTGTACAAAAATCAATAAAAGAAATATATATATAATAATTAAAAAAAAGAAATTTCAATCATTGTACTGCTGATATTTGGCTCTGTTGACTAATGAGTTTGCCGACCAATGTCCTAGACCCACCAAACACACATGTACCTTTGAAGACCACCCCTCAAAATCCCATCAATACAAGCTCCTAAAAGAAGAGTCTTTACACCATTACCCAGTTACATACCAATAATAACATAGGGCTATTCTTCAGAGGAGTGGCTGAGAATATTTTAGGCATTTAGGGTGGTTTATTTTATAGAGGGGTGTAAATTCCACCTGCCATAGACCCCTCTATAAAATAAACCACCCTAAATGCCTGTTCCTGACAAAAGCAAATCAAGTTCCTCTCAGGGCACTAAGAGAACCCTCCAAAGGTGAGAGTGTTTCTCTGATAGGAATCCAGAAAAGTGAGAGAAGGAATCTAGCTGCTCTCAACATGAGAACCAAAGCCTGTCTGAATGGGCAGGGCCAGGCTCAGTCCATAGGAAAAGTAACTATGATCATGGTGGGCAGATCCTGTGAACATTTTTTTTTTTTTTTTGAGGACATCCATTCACCCAAGGAACTAGTAAGATTAGTCACTTGAAAGTGAAGAACTGAGGTCAACTGAAAGTGAAGAACTCGAGTCCATCTTTGCTCACAGTGCAGGGGCCTGAGAGATCTGGCTGCGGTTGGGTGAAGGCTGAGGATAGAAGAGCTTTCCTGTATGAAGTTCAAGGTCAACTCAACCTACAGTCAAGAACTCTGCTCTAAACTATAATAAAATACCGCTCAACACTCACTAGGACGGCTATAATATTGGGGGGGGGGGAGGTAGAGGGGAGAAGCATTAATGAAAATGTAGAGAAATTGGATTCCTCATACCTTGCTGGTGGAAATGTAAAATAGCGGGGCCACATTGGAAAACATTTTAGACAGTTCCTCAACATACCCACTTCTGGCTACATACCCAAGAGAAATGGAAACGTGTTCACACAAAAACTGGTACACAGTGTTCATAGCAGCATTATTCGTAAGAGCCCCAAACGGGAAACAACCCAAAATATTCATCAACTGATAAATGGGTAAACAAACTGTGGCATACCCATACGCTTAGAATATCATTCGTCAACATGAAGAAATGTTATGCTATGACAGGGTATGCTATGACATACATAAAACTTTAAAATGTTATGCTAAGTGAAAGAAACCAGTCACAAAAGACCAGATATTACAGCTGCATTTATGTAAAATGTTCCCGAAAGGCATACCCCTGGAGGCATATCCATACAGAATCAGATTAGCGACTGCCTGGGGCTAGGGCAAGGGTCGGACAGGGAGGCGACTGTGAGTGGGAATGGATTTTGGGAGTGTTTAAAGTCCTACAATTCGCTTCTCTCTGAGTGGGCGTGGCTGGGCGGGTCGGTGCCAATTTATGAGACTGACGCGCTACCTACTGCGCTAACGAGGCACCTATCGGTGCCAATTTAAAGCCGGGCTGTGGAGGCCGGTGCTCAGTTGGCTGTGACTCGGACAGGCATGGAGAAGGAGTGCGCTTGCCTCTGTGGCGTGGGCCTTTCGCGAGGATGCCGGTGTCGCCAGGAGGGCCAGGGCCCAGCTGAGACTGTGGCAGCCGACAGCAAGCCAGCCCCGGCCCTGGCCCCAGAAGAGGAGCACCTCCAGGCCGAGGGCGCTGCAGCGTGGCCCTGTGCTGGGGATGGAGGGATCGCGAGCCCCACGTCGCCCCCGCCATCCCCACGCTGCTGCTCGCTGCAGGACCTGCCCTGCGAGCTGCTAATGGAGATCTTTGCCTCGCTCCCCGGCACCGACCTGGCCAGCCTGGCGCAGACCTGCACCAGATTCCACCACATCCTGTACACCGACAGCATCTGGAGGCGGCGCTGCCAGGAGGAGTTTGGCGCTTGTGAAAACTTGCAGAACCTCGAGATGATGGGTACGTCTTGTCGGGAGGTCTATGCGAAACTGCTCCACCCATGCAGAAACATTTTTGGGTTGTGGCAGCCGGTTAGCGGGCCCTATGGAGGACTGCTGGATGTAGTGGCGGACGGCTTACACATTATTGGTTGGATGTACCTGCCTTCCCTTGACGCCCAACTGGATGATCCATTGAGATTCAGTCCCGTGTTTAGAATTCGCCTGACAGATAGGAAGTCGATCGCGGTGGAGTGCCTGAACGGTGACAGAGGGCCCCACAGTTGCAACATGCAGATTCAGAAGGAGAGGTTCTCCACCGAGTGCAGCCAGATGGACTACCACCGCATCTCTGATTGGAGCCCAGAGGATATAGGAAGGTGGCTGAGGGAAGAATGGGTGCAGGTAGTGCAGGACATTTTCCAGGAGGACAGGCTGCATTTCATCCTGAGGAAGTTCGTCTACCAACAGTATGACTACCACCGCATCTACCTCCCGCAGAGCCACCCGGACGACCTCATCAGGCCCGGCCTCTTCAGAGGCACCCACGATACCTACGGCCTAGCGATTGTCATGCTCAGCTTCCATGGGAAGCATGCCAGGGTCACGAAGATCACGGGTGACCTCAGGGTCCCTGCCGGGCAGCAGCTGATAGAGATCGACCTCATGCACCGCATCCAGCCGCTCCATGTCGAGATCTTCCGCGACTTCAACCAGCTCTTTAGCATCGTCCAGGAGGTTCATGAGCAGGTTATTCAGGAGCAGCAGCAGCAGCAAGAAGACAGGACTGAGGACGGCGAGGGCCGTGGTTGGCAGAGCCCTGTCCAGCCCAGTGTTGGTGAGTCCGGGGCTGCAGCTTTGAAGGCGCAGCCTGTCCAGTTTGTCCTGCCTGCCTGCGTGAGATCAAGTAACCAGAACTACCCCCGAACCTGCAGGATGTGTTTCTATGGCGTGGGCATTGTTGCCAACTATGGCTTTGCCAATCCCCAGCGCCTTCCTGGAGTCTTCATTCTGTTCGATGAGGACCACTTCGGGTTCATCTGGCTGGAGCTTAAATATTTCAGCCTGTACTGCAGAGCCCAGGTCAACCATGGGAATGCGGAGGCCTTCTAGGAGATGCTCAAGAAGATTCAGTACTGATCCCCTGACGGCCCCTCCCTTGCCCAGGGGCAGGCAGCAGGGAGTAGCTGCTTCAGAGGTAGAGCAGCTTGAACGCATTTTGGAGATTTGACCTTCTGACCAGATTACTCCCCTTCTTGGTTTAAAATGTCTGTTTAAAAAGTAATATATCAAATATAATAATAATAATAATAATAATAATAATAATAATAAAAACCACTGAATTGTACATTTTAAAGGGTGGAGTTTATAGTATGTGAATTATATCTCAATAAAGCTGTTATTAAGTAAATAATAAAGTGCCACACTGTCCTAGTTTATTTGGCTCAGTGGATAGAGCATTGGCCTGTGACATGAAGCGTCCCAGGGTTCCATTCTCTTCAAGGGAACATGCTGAGGTTGCAGGCTCAATTTCTGGCTCTGTTTGGGGTGGGTGTGGTTGGCAACCAATCACTTGATGTGTCTCTCTCACATAGATGTTTCTCATTATCTCCCTCCCTTCACCTCTGAAAATCAATGAAAAAATATCCTCTGGTGAGGATTAACAAAAAATAAAGGTGCTTGTACCATTTTATACTCCCACCATTAGTGTTTAAAAGCATCTATTGTTCCACATTATTGCTGTAATATTGTAACATTTTATATTAAACTTTAAAATCACTGGTGGCTGTAAATTGATATCTTGTGGTTTTCTTTTACATTTTGCTGATTATTGATGAGGTGAGCATCATTTGTGAGTGCTTATCTAAGGAATGCCTTTTCATGTCTTTTGACCATTTTTCTATTGGGTTGTCTTTTCTTTCCTCATTGAAACCTACAAAGTGCCAGAAATCAGCAAATATTAGCAAATGTCCCCAGTGCTTGAGTACCTTTCTGGATTCCACCTTTTAAGTCGTTTTTTCTTCTAAAGAATTCCTTTATTTTCTTGCCATCTAAAATATTTTTATAAAATGTTTTCTAAAAACATTCATGATTTTTTGGTTCTTGGTGTACACCATATATTGAATATATGGAATTATACACCTAGAAATTTACAATTTTGATGTAGTCAAATCTATCAACATTCCCTTATATGGGTTTTGTTTTTGTGTTAAACTTAGGAAGTCTTGCTTTACTTAGAGTTTTCAAATATCCTTATATATTTTCATTTTGTAACATTTAAATATGTTATTTAGAATTTATCTTGATAAAACATGAGAAATAGAAATCTAATATTTTCTCAGATAGTTAACTTGTCCCAACATCAAAGTAATTTGCCAAAAAATAAAAATATGAAATAATAAAAGTTGAAGTCAATATCACCCATAAAAATGGTTGTGTTTGAATAGAAGTTATAATCGTGCTTCATATGGAAAATCAATTATGAAAATAAATGATTTTCTGTTTTTAAAAATATCTCTTAAATGTAAATAACTTAAATACTTCAATCAAAGGACATAGGGTAGCTGAATGGATAATAAAACATGACCCATATACATGCTGTCAATAAGAGACCCATCTCAGGACAAAAGACTCAACACAGGATGAAAGTGAAGAGATGAAAAATTTTTTCCCTGCAAATGGAAATGAAAAAAAGCTGAAGTAGCAATCCTGATATCTGACAAAATAGACTTCAAATTGAAGGCCATATAACAAGAGACAATGAAGGCCACTTCATAACACTAAAAGGATTGAGGATTGACACAAAAAGAGAATATAAGCCTGGTAAACATATGCACCAAGTCTAGGAGCACCCAAATATATATTAAAAAAAATCTTATGGATGACTTAAAGGAAGAGATCAACAGCATAATAATAATAATAGTAGGGGACTTTAACACCTGACTGACATCACTGGATAGAACTTCTTACTTGTCTTTGTACTCTTGGAAAAAGGCAGGACTTTTAATTCCTTGGTTTTATTTGCCACTACCTGCTTTGGTAGATATCTTTTTTCTTAAAAATTCTCAGGATACTCTAATATAGGGCAATAAAACAGGAAACCCTATGGAGACAAAACATTTTGCTGATTCCATGTATATAATCTTTCTGTTTTTTTATAATCAGAATCTTGTATATATTGAATTTCCTGGTGTGACACAATTATTGGTGGTCTAGTAGAGAATTAGAAACAGACATGCATTAATTTGGA